GCTACACTATAAACTAACTAAATTTGTAATTACAAGTGTTAATATAATAATGATAATAATTATAACGATAATAATAAATATAATAAAAATAATAAATATAAGAAAAATAATGATAATAATGAAAATAATGAAAATATGAGGAATTATGAAAATCTAACGAATCAGGATTATCTGATGAATCCAGTAAATCCTAAGAATCCTACGAATCCCCAGAATCCTGTGGATCCTAAGAATCATTAAAATTCGGAATTTTTCAGATCATTTAGCACAGTATTGGTCACGTTTATTACGTCGTCATTTCATGATCAGCACAGTAAGGTCGATTCCAGACGTTAACAAATCTCCTTCTACTTGAATTTCGAATGTAGTGAGAAATATTTTCGCCCTCAAAATTTCCTTTTCATTTCTAAGATTTTTATTAGATTTTTATATATTTTACAAAAATATGTAGTCTACGGTAATTAGACTAGGCTTTACAGCCAGATCCCCCTTCAAAGACTTAGATGTTGATAGTAATAGTCTGTGGTAATTAGACTAGATCTTAAGATCGGATCCCCCTCAGGACTTTCAACGGTTATAATTATAATTTATGATAAACTTATATAGGACCAAAATTTAATAACTTTGAAATTATAGGACTTCTAGTCATATAAAACTGCTTATCATACATTGATTTACATCAAATAAATTTTATCAAAATTTCTCTTCCTTTAAAATTAAATCATTCCAAAATGCCTTCAAAAAGTGCTATTCAAAAGAAACTTAAACGAAACAGAACCTTTCGTACTGAAAGAAAAACAGAAAATCTTCAAGAACAGCTTGCTCATCTTCATTTTTCCCTTTGTTTAGAAGAGCAAAAGAGACTCCTTGCTGAGTAATTATTTGAAGTTCATCAAAATTCGCAAGAACTTCGTGAAGAATTAGAAGATAGGGATAATACAATTTTACTTCTAAGAGATTGTGAATAAGAATTATTGCGAGGTCTGGATTTTTTAGAGATTCAAAATCCAAATCAACAGGCTACAAACTTGCAGGAATGGTTATATTACAAGAATGTTTTGGAGGGAAGAATTATTGTTGATGTGGATAGAACTTGGTAGTGGATTTGTATTTCTCTTTTGGTTGGATTTCTTTTGGGTTATTTTTTTTCGATATTTTCTTTGATTAGGTGAATTTGTTGGGTTGGGCTGGTAATTGTGGCTGAGGTGGGATTCTTATTGTCGATCAAAAATAATAAATTTTATTCTATATTTTGATGACTTAATCATGTTGATCTGATTTTCAATCGTGATGTACTAATCTATCCCTATATCAGGAAATTTCATTCAAATTCAATT